CGCTGGAGCTGCGGTTCCTGGGCGCCTGCCTGGAGGACCTGGCCCGCAAGGACTACCACTCCCTGCGCGACTCCGAGATCAAGGCCAACAACCCCGCCGACCTGGGGAGCCTCACCAACCTGACGGACGAGGTGGTACGCAGCAAACTTTTGGTCTCTCTCGCCCTGCTCGGGTCTGCCCACCGAGAGGCCGCCGGGGTCCTCTTCCGTACCCTCACCCACATCGATTCGGTCATCAACAACTATGGGCTACAACTCAACGAGGGCCGCACCGGGGATGAGTTCCTGTTGCTCTTCACGATGGCATCCAACCACCCTGCTTTCAGCTTCCACCAGAAACAGGTGCTGAGGCAAGAGCTCACCCAGATCCAGAATATCATGGCCAGCACCAGCAAGAATCCCAGCACCTCTACCCTCAACACCATGGCAACCTACCCTGGCTGCCATAAGGTGGGTATCCTGCTTTTGCACACTGTGACGGCGCTGCTGAAGGGCACTGGGTTATGTCTTAAGCTCTGATTGTAGACATTTCTTTTAGTACAGGTGTTCTAGTGATAAATGGCAGCTTAAGAGACTGGCAGACTGCTTCCTTCGTTGATGATAGAGATGGTCAACTGAGGGTGAAAAGAAGGGATGCATGGAGCTTTTCCTGGCTCATGACTTGTAAATGAGGAAGGGCTCACTAGCTGATCAACAGCAACTTTATAAACCTTAACTGGTTGCTTCTGGCAACACATCTGCCCTGCCTGTTACATGGAAGACCAGTGATTTAGAAGGGGAATTGATTCGGGAGCAAGCATCTGTTAAAAGTTTCCCTGGAACAAGTTGGAAAGCAGGATCAGCTTTGGGAGTAGCTGTCCAGTGGCAAAGGCACCTCCGGGAGTCTCGGTTTTGTTTAGACGAATGTGTCGACAAACGTTTTGTGTTGGTGATGCTACACTTCAAGAAATGTGGTTGCCTGTCACCCTGAATCTCGAGGGTATTGATCCTGGTGTCAGTGGTTCACCGTCAGTAACTTGCTGTTCGTTCATTCAATTGCCAGCAATTAAGCTAGACAGTAACATTTTAAGAGGTGCTGTTAGTAATTAGGTAAGTTACTGACTGCTTAAGTGCTCTTAGCCTGCTACAAATTAGGGAGTCAAACTGTCTTCTTGACTGAACTTAACCTGCTTTAAAGTTCAACCTAAGTACCAGCTAAGTGGGTGTATGAGATGAGTTAACAGGCTGTAGCTCTTGAGGCTGTGCAGACTCAGTCAGCAAATAACTACGTTGCCCTTCTCTTGGGAAAGGTGGTGTATGCCTAGGGGCTGCAAAAATCCCTATATTGGAGTAGTATCCTAAATAAAGCTGTTTCCGAGGGCTCAGAACAGATTCCATTAAGTTGAGCGTTGCATTTCAGGCTGAGACAGAAATGCGTGCTCCTGAATACAAATTTCCTCACAATTTCATGTGCCTTTGAGCACCGCCACTTTAATTGCGAAATTTAGGGGAGTATTATATTAAACTTGATATTTCTCTTAATCTTCCCTTCCTCTGCCTTTAAAGAGTGCTTGTTCCTGACATTTTGTTTGAAGGGGAAAGAACAGGACATGGGAAGGCCTCTTTATTCAGTTTAAACGTCTACGTGAATAAAATATAGATGGAAAGAATATTTCACGCAGACTGTAGAGCGGTATAATTAAAACCAGAAAAAGCTGCCTTTCAGATACCTAACTGCTCAAAAGATGCATGGACCCTAGGTTTGAAAGGAAATGCTGTAAACAATGTACAAGTTTTCTCAAAATAAGATGAGCAAAAAAAGATGAAATTGCGCAGGCAGGAGCATGGTTTTTTTTTTTAGAGTATGCTTTCAAAGCTTCACAAATAGTGCACGATTTATGTAGCTGTAAAACTCCAGCACTATTTATGTCAATCTAAAATGGACGGAGAATCCATCCTACCATTTTTCGTGCCAGGAATAAAGCATACAGGACAGTAATTGGATTTATTTTTTTCTTTTATTTCTTCTGAACTCATTGAAGGGGTGGCTCTTTTAAAATACATTTTTGTAAATTATTTTTTTTAAAGTAAGTGAGTTTGAAGAATACTGGTCTCTAAGTACAGAATAGTTGAGAGGGAACAAAAAAGGTGACTTTGCTTTCACAGTCTCCAGAACACGCATTTTAACAGATGCCGATTTCCTTTTTTAAGACTGTTAAATGTTTTCGATGCTGATAGCTTGGTAATTCTGCTACTTTTAGAGTAAGAAGTTGGCTTAAAACAAGAGTTGGATGAAGCAAGTGGGAAAAAAAACCCAATGTCTTTCTCCATTCAGCCCTGTTTAAATATGCACAAATAAATTCCAACAGCGTGGACTTAGATCTTGTGATGTTACCAAGTTATGTTGTGACAATACTTGTGTTGTAACATCACCTAGAAAGAAACCCCAATGCGGGTGTCGAGAGAAAGTGAGCTGTGCTGCTTGCCAAGAGTCCTGCACTCTGCGTCCTCTTCGGAGTTGGAGGAGAATTTCTTACCCAGCGCCAGCAGTTTCTCATCACTCTTCTTGCTTTACTACAGCTTGAGCTGTGCTGAGCCGGTACTTGAAGTCAACACTGCGCGTTGAATCGTGTGAACGCTGCTCGTGAATTCTCGTTCGCCAACCTCTTTGGGCTCATCCTTAGCAAAATGAGCTGGAGAAGTGGTCGCCGTTTGAGGTCCTGAGAAACTTTTGGAAGCTGGAATGGAGTGGCTGTGGAACAACATGCGCGTAGGGAGCACTTTGTGAACAGGGCTGGTTTTCCTTCCGCATTTCCCTGGTGGGAACAAGGAGGAACACTGGTGCGACTACCTGCTTTTCTGCGTAGCTCGAAGTCTGTTAGAATTCCCCACGATTTATGTTTAACTTGTTTATTCGGGGAGATGCAACAGAAAAGTTGAACGGTGCTCTTTGTTCTCTTTGCAGAAACAAATGGAAATGGGCTGCTCCTGCTTAGTCAGTCCTGTCAGAATATGAGCTGACTTGATATTAGCTACAGCTAATAATTTTTTCCAGGGGATTGGAGCTTGCAATTCTCTTATCCCTCTCTTATCTCTTTTACATCTTACAGAGAAATGGCTCAAGAGTAGATTGTTTAATAGTGAAGAGACCAAACAGATGATACAAGATTTGTGTAAACATTTCATGATTCTTCAGGTTGCTTTGCAGTAGGTGAAGACGTCTGAAGGTGGTTAGTGATGCAAGCCACTGCTTTTTGCTGTTGTCTCTTACTGTCTGCGGTAATTGCTGTTTACAAGGAGGCTTAAGGTAGCTGCCTGTATATTTTGGGTTTAATTTGTGCTTTTCGAGATTGTTCTTGGGTTATATGAATGTTATCTTTACAGGAAAAGGTGGCTGTGGCTGACTTTAAGTAGGTCAGTAATTATTAGATTCATGGTTTCTACCTGATAGTAGAAAATGAACATTAAGTTTCCTTGCCCTGAGTGGGGAGAACACTGCCCTCGCTCCAGTAGGCTATTGCTTTAGTCCTTGTAAGGGTCATTGTTTCTACCCTCTGTCTTGTCCTGTATTTTTGCTTTTGAATGATGCCAAAGGACTTGAGTTGAGGATTCTTCAAACTTTTTGGTTTGTAGGTAGAAATCTAGGGGGGTTGTATAGTCCTTAAAAATGGAAACCGTGCAAATTGTCTTGCCTAGGCGTATGTCTGAAGAACCAGCTCTTTAAAAACTTTTATTTGATTACCTGTAATGGGCTTATTTTTAACTGGAAATGATGCAACTGAGTTTTCAGGCTGGTTTTGCACCTTAAGATGTCTGTTTAGGTGTCTCTTACACCTTTGCCACAAAGGAGAGAGAATGGTTTTCTGGCCGGTACTTAGAGCCTGGCATCTGAAGGCTCGTTTCTGTGCTGGTACATAGTGCCTAGAGCTGCAAACTGCTGCTCACCTTGTAGAGGAGGAGTAGCTGAAAGCATCAGGGTACATGAAAACGAGTAACCAAACGTCTCCTGCTGTGAACATGTGCCTTGGGGTGCTTTGACAGGCAAATCTGTGACCCATACTGCTGAATTTGTGACTCTCAGAGGTGGGAGAAATGTTTGAAAACCCCTTAGGGCTTATGTCTGGTGGATAGTGACATACCAGGACCTACCTGGATACTGAAACTCATCTAGACATCCTAATATGAATCTCTGCACAGGCCGACTTTTCCTCTCAATAAGTCTACATGTGTTAGTAACACCAAAGATGTAACTTCCAGAACTAGAGGAGAAGCTCTTCACCAACCTTGTGTTTCTTGGAGCTGCTTCATCTACTCATTGAGATCATTCTGTAAAAACAGGGAAGTAAGACGATGCTTTGGCTACTTAGTGCCTGCTCTGCTAGCTGGCCGAGAAGAGCTCTTCAGGGCAGTTCGTGCCATGATCTGGTTGTGGCTTCAGCTGCAGACCCAGGGTCATAAATAGCAGAGCAGGTCTGGCCGCAGTTTGTTTGCAGCTGAAGGGAAATAAGAGTCACTGACTCTATAGTTATGTGGCTGTTTCAGGTTGATATCTTGTGAATGGGGAGAAGGGCTCTTGCCTAGTCAGCTTCCAAGTCCTGCATCAATGGCTATTTCAAGTTTATAACATAAGTTGCTATTTTTCACTCGTGCTAATCCCATAGGCTCATCGAAAACTTAGAAATAACTAAAGGCTGTGTATTAGGAACTGTGCAGAGCTCACGTTCTGAGGGGGCCGTTTCAAATGCCGTCACCTCTCTGCGCTGCTTGGTACAGGTGATTGAAGTTGCATACGCTGTCTTCAGAAATACTCAGAGATTTTTATTTCATCTGTGGAATGATGAGTTAGGAAAAAAACCCCAACACTGTTGCTCATTGGGTTGAAACTGAGTCCTGAAGTCCTCACAGTCTAGCTATTAAGTGATCCGTGTCAGCTGCCTTTATGGCTTTTGTGCTTTGTAGGGATAGAATAAATAATTAAAACCCTAATTTTTAGCCTCCTAACCCACTGAAGGTATTTCATAGCTCCAGTAGATTATTACCATGTTAACAGCAGTGGCTGGCTAGGATTAGAGGTGTTTGCTCACTGATATCGGTAGTTGCTATCTCAGGAATGATCTCATTTTCAAAAAACTCATGAAGCTGAGCTGAGGAGCTGTATGGGCAGGTCTTGTAGCTTCCAGCTGGTGACATGTGCCAACCTTTGCATGTCCCTTTAGTATTCTGGATACTTGAGGCAACCCTGATTACCCGTGCCTCTTGATAGACTAATTAAGAAATGCAGTTCTGGCTCATTTCTTATAATGTTCTTATTTGAAAGTTTTCTGTGACTCCAGTAAAATGGCCTCAGACCTACAAGGTTTTCAAGACTTAACATTTAAAGGAAGTCTTGGAAGACAACAGGTGTCATGTGATAATGGTCTTAATTACCGTGGTCTTAATTACCATGCAACTTGCTTTATCTTACTGTATGT